GGGAGAGAAACTGCAGAGCTCCAGTGCTGAGAAAGGAAACTTGTCACCGTTAATTTCTGAGTTTGGGTTTTTTTGGGGATTGTTTTGTTTGAGATGATTGTTTTCCTTTGAGATGATTGTTTTCCTTTGAGATGATTGTTTTCCTTTGAGATTTCACTTTCCCTTCAGTGCAATCCTGTCCCTTGCTGGCATTCATTAAATAAAGGCCACTGCTCCAATAACACAGTGCTTAAACTGTGTTAAACTTAACTCCATAGAAACACCTCAATGCTTTAAAGAAACTCCCGTTCCTGGTCTGGGGAAAGATTTTCACTGCACAGAGCAACTTCAGCAGCATTTATTAGTGAGCCTCTGACTTTAACATTATGCATTTGTTACTTTTTCAGGTGTTAAAAATGAGCTACAACAAGGTCAGAGTGCTCCAGCAGGACGTGTTTCASGGCCTGAGCAGCTTGGTGCGGCTGCACATGGACCACAATCAAATCGAATTTGTGCATCCCTATGTTTTCCATGGACTCACCTCCTTGAGATGGGTGCACCTGGATGGGAATCTCCTTCAGCAGCTGCACCCGGACACTTTTGTCACCTTGCACTACAGTCAGATATTTCAGATCTCCTTCCTGAGGCACATCTCCCTGGCTGACAACGCTCTGACCTCGCTCCCAGCAGAAATGTTTTCCTACATGGCAGAGCTCGAGAGCCTTTACCTGCACGGGAACCCGTGGAGCTGCGACTGCAGCCTGCGGGGATTTGCAGAGTGGGCTCGGGACAGACCAGGTGAGAGCAGGGATTTGTTTGTGCTCCTTCACCCTGACACAGCGAACTGTTCTTTATTCTTCTGTTTATTCTCCCAGAAAAGACTGGAACACGATGGGATTTTTGTAGGTGTGTGTTATCAGGATAAAGAGATTAATTCCACTCAGTTTCCCCGATTAAATCAATCCAATGGCCTTAATGCATTCTCCTGTACACCAGGAGAACCCACAGGGAATAAACAAACTTTTATGGAACTAGCAAAAGCATTTTTTTAAAAGATTTTTTTAAAAAGCAAAGAAGGAGCTCAGGATTTCAGGACTTTCTCTGCTGCTGCTCACGTGCCACTTCMGGCTCTGGTTTYATTTGATATTTTGGTTTTATAKAAAAGAATCACTTTGGTTTTATATAAAAGAATCACTTTRGTTTTATATAAAAGAAYCACTTTATTAGTAGCTATGCATCATTTTTAACACTTTAGCTTTCAGCATGAAAAACACTGAAGTTTTTTTTCCTTTCAGATGTTCTCAAGTGCAGAAAAGAGAGAATCTCCGGTGCCCAGCAATGCCCGGTCTGTGCCAGTCCCAAAAACCACAATGGGAAAAGTGTAGCGGATCTCCCTCCCGCATCTCTCACCTGCTTCAAGCCCGTCATTGACGACTCCCTGAAATCCAGGAACCTGACGCTGCCGGACGATGGGGATTTTTTGGGTTTYGCGTCTCCCAGGGATTTCCTGGCTCCCATAGGATCTGTGGTTTTGAACGTGACYGACCAAGCGGGCAACCGMGGCMACCTGGYTTGCCAGGTCCAGAAACCGAGAGARACCTCTCCTGCCTCATTTSAGCAGGAAGGCAGCAGCACYGTGCTCAAAAGCTCCTTCTCAGCGTTCCTGGTGTGCGGAATTGGTGACGGGGACATCCAGCAGCTCTGGAGCATCCTGGCGCTGTACAGCACCTCTCCCGTGAAACTGGAGAGAACCACGGATGGCGCAGCTTCGGGCAGGCACAGATACAAACAGATCCACCCAGAGAAGGATGAGCTCTTCACCAATATCGAGGCTGAGCTGCGAGCCGAGCCGGGCTGGCTGGCACAGAACAGAGTGACCCTGCAGCTGGACAGGACGGCCACCACGCTGAGCGCGCTGCACCTCCGCTACTCCGCCGATGTGCAGATCAGGCTGCCCGGTGACAGCACGGCCCCGGTGACCAAGGACTGGGTCACCATCTCCAGGGACAGCAGCACGCCCAGGGAGCACACGGTGCTGGTGGGGGACRGCGTGGAGCTGGGGTGCCGGGCCAGGGGACACCCCGCACCCACCACCGAGTGGGTCCTGTCCGACGGCAGCCGAGCGCGGGCGCCGCACGTCAGCGAGGACGGGAGGAYGGCGGTGCTGGGCAGCGGGAGCCTCACCCTGCGCTCGGCAGACACCTTCGACTCGGGGCTGTACCGCTGTGTGGTCACCAACGGCCGCGACACCGCCGCGCTGGCGCTCCGGGTCACCGTGCTGGAGCCGCGCCTGGAGCGCCGCGATGTGAACGGAGCGCGGCTCTGGGCTGCTCCGGGCAGCACTCTGCACCTCCCCTGCACCGCCACGGCCGCTCCCGACCCTGCCTTCACATGGGTGCTGCCTGAGGGGTCAATCCTCCGCCRCTCTGCGGGGAACAARGAGGTTCTTGCCAACGGCACCCTGAGRATTCGCGGGGTGAGCGAGCGGGACRCSGGCTTCTTCCGATGCGTGGCRGCCAACCCGTACGGTGCYGACCTGCTGGTGTTCCAGGTGATGGTCAGGAGGGGTGGAACTGCTGCCAGGAGAAAGCAGGGGGCTGAGGGAGATGGGGAAGAGGGCTCTGGAGGTGCAGGGCTGGGCTCTGCCGCGGCACGGAGCCGAACCTCAGACACCCCCAGAGCTCACGGGGAGCCCAGCAGCCGGGGCGCCCGTCAAAGGAACGGCCACGGGAACACCCCTCACCAGCCCTACAGCGACAGGACGGGCTGGCAGCTCAGGGGACAGCGCAGACAGTTTGTGTCCTCGGGCAGGAGAGCCGATCCGCAGCGCTGGGCAGCCTTGGTGGAGAAAACGCGGAGGAACCGCACGGCCACGGACAGAGGAGGAGATGGGACAGCAGAACCGCCCGTTCATGTCCAAAAGATCTCAGAGGCACCCGAGGATGGGGAGGAGACATCTGGGGATCTCATATCTCCRGAGGAATTCATGATTCCAGCAACAGAGAGATCGCCGGGGTTTGCTCTGGGGACAGCGACAGAGCTCACGGTCACTGCAGGGCCCCAGGAGCCCCCAAATCGGGGTGGGAAAATCCCCCTCCTGCTCGCAGAAACATTGACCCCTCTACCCTCTCCTCCTGCGGCATCGGGCAGCGGAAAGCCTCAAACAAAACCTACAGTGAGGTGGGAAAGATCTGGCGGGAGTCAAGTGTCAGGAAATGGTGCAAAACAAACAAGTGAAGCAAGTGGGACAGCCACACTCTCCCCTGCTGTGCAAAGGGCGATATATTCTGAGGAAAGCAATAACCAGAATCTGAAATTTGTGACACCTACGACACGAGCAGCAGGCACTGGCGAGGCTGGAACACCCCAAAACTCAGCAGACAATTCACGTATTTTCACTGAGGCTGTTGCTGAGGTTTCCACCACAGCAGAGCAGCAGGTCCCCGTGGTGACAGTCAGCACACAAAGCCCTGAGTCTGGCCCCGTTTATTTTCATGGTGCTCAGAGAGGAGGAACCCCAAAGCCACCACCGGCCTCGACTGTCCCTTCCCATCAGCAAACCCGGCTTTTCCAGCACATCCCAACTCAGCCGCCCCAGCTCCAGCAGCGCCGCGGGAGACGAAGGAAAATTTCAGGGCGAAGACGAATTGTTAGACCAGGACGTGTCCCRGGTGTGAGGCCGACAGTTATTGCTCCTAAAACTGACCCCAAAATCACCAAATCKAAAATATTCCGAGGGGGAGGAAGGMGAGGCCAGAGGAGGAAGAGGCCTCCCAAAACTGCTGCCCCACAGCGTGTGACTGCAGCCACCCCTGCMGGGAGCAGAGCCACCCCCACGGTGACAGCAGTGACACCGCCAGCGGTGTCCCCAAACCCTGCAGAGCCTCCCCCTGGCAGGGTCAGCGCCATCCCCATGACCAAAGCCCCGTCCCTGCGTGTCCCTGCCACCCCCGGGGCACCTCAGCCCGGGAGCACGGCGGCCACAGAGCCGCTGGTCACCCAAAGGA